GTTGCTGAACTCTGCGCTGTTGAGCACTCGGTGACTGGAACTCCGCAACTGTTTAATATGATAATTCATTGGAATTTCTTTAAAAAAAAAAAAAAAAAAACAGGTCCTTATGGTCCTGGCTACATATCCATTCTGGGGAGCGTCAGTCCGGTTCCTTTCCACCAGCAAGTCAAGAATTGAAATACATGGTGAACACTCTCACGCTTCCTTCCATCTGGCCGAAGGAACCCAATCAGCATTGCTTGCTCCAGAGCCGGAGGATTGACTATGAGCTTGCCCTACCACTTTTCCTCTCAGAATCTGCTGTAACTCTGTCAGATGATTCGTGTAAAGGAAGAAAAGAGGAGAGTTGTCTGTATTGTGGAGATTGTAATCTCAGTTTGCCCATCATTGGGTCATCGTCCTTGCTGGAGTTGCGCTGTGCCATTTCTTCCAGATCAATCTGTTGTCCGCCATGGTTGCAATCTTTCCCTGTAGAAGCCAGTTTCTCACGAAAGACCGTTTCTTGATGGCTAGCCTTTCTGGTCTGACTTTCATTGTTGCTGTCACCTCCTTCCATCTGGATCGAACCTCAGTTTCCGCCACTCCCAGCAGTAGACCCCACATTTCTTCCCTTGCCACCTCAGTACCCTCTATAGTCTTGGTACACCTCCTTTTCCAGATTACCCATAGAGTCAGCTTCCTGAGTAAGTGAAACCAGACTTCCTTGCCGCCTTTGAGATTGTTAGTATTGTTGGATAGGAGCAGGATGTTCATAGGAGTTGTGGACGGAGGGGGTGATGAGAAGAGGAGGGACCATAGGTCGTGCACCTTGTTAACTATCCATGCTGCTTCAGTGCAGTACAGGAGGCAGTGGGGTATATCTTCTGGGATGTTGTGTGTGCACAACCTGCATAATTCAGAGCTGTCAGGGAATGGCCCCCAATTCTTCATCGTCTTTTTCTGCTTTCATCAACTATTTTGGATTTGATTGTTCAACTCCGATTGTCTGCAGAGTTGACATCAGTGTGATTTCAATTCAATCAGGTGAGCAACTGAGATGATGGATGGAAGTACTTGACATTCTGGAAATTTGTAACAGAGATCAAAACGGACAAGCCAGCATGAGAAGTTTCCGCAAGAGTTGTACTGCAGTCATCCTTCATATCAAAGTGCTTGCTCGCAAGGAATGGCCTACCTCACGGTTAATGTGTTCATCGCTCAACAAATCAGTAAAAGTTCTGGGAGCATATTTCTCCACCCATAATTCTTCTTGAGAAACCTCCTCGGCGGTCGCATCATGTGTGGCAGTTGATGCTTGCTCTAAGTTCTGCAGCGGAAACACCAAGAAACAAAGGTATCAGCATGTAGTCAGGGATGGTGTGCAAGAAGGCAGCCAAAATGAAACAAGCAAGGGTGGCCAGATAGATGCACTGAGAAGCTCCAGAAAGGAGTGCCAATAGCTCTTCCATGTGGCATTCTGAGGTTGGGATGCAGGGATGTCAAGAGTGCGACGATGTCAACAGGGTGCTGAACACTGAGGAGGAATTGTCAAGGGTATGTTCATGGCGGAAAGAATGAGACCCGAACTCCTTGGCGTCTCTCTGCAGCCAAGAAAGGACAAAATTGTGTATGGCTGTGGTATATATGTAAGGGATGCTCGACCCACTTTCCAGCTTATAATGGAAGATACATGACCTCTGGCATTCCGGGGCATGGTTGGGCTCAAGGCTCGGAGGCCCAGGGCACCATTTTGGGCGGCCAAGGCCACAGCTTGCCTGCCCATGCTTCTTGTGGACCCCGGAACAGTTCAGACCTTCATTGTCCTCTCACTTCTGTTTTTCGTACTCTTGGTTGGTTTGTCGGTATCTGCATTATATTCTTTTATTATTATCGTTATTGTGTGCTTTAGTTTTGCAGGAATTTTGTCTATTTTCGCTTTCATTTTTCTCCTCCCCTGGTTACCTCCTCCATCTCCATTCGTTCTTCTTTTTTTTTTTTTTTTTTTTTTTTTTT